TAAAGGTACATAGTGTTACATACTCATGCAAGCACATATTCACTCACGCACGCACCACACACACATACATACACACATACGTACATGTAATAAAATGTATATTATACTGTTTATAATGTATTTTATAAAGTAGCTAAGAGTAAAATGCACGCATTGTTTATAGAGTACTTTGTAAGCAGCTTAGGTCAGATTGGTCATACTGTGCTTAGGACACTGTATAGATGCTTCAGTATTAAAATGTACATGACGCTATTTAGACCACTTTGTAAGTAGCCAGGTGCAGATATTGACGTGCATTTTTAGATCTATGTATTTGTGGCTTGGCGCAGAACGTACATTCCGTAATTTAGAACACTTTGTAAATAGCTCTGTCAAGAATGTACATTATGTAATATAGAGCATATTGTTAGAAGTTCTAGCTAGGTGTAAAGCTTATGAGTATCAAATAAAGTAAAACCTGCTGTGTGGCATACCTACAATATGTATGGTGTACTGTAAGCGTCTCAAATACAGTAAAACTTGCTGTATGAGGTACAAAGAGAATTCATAGTGTACTGTAGACGTGACTTTTTTTTTAGGAATCTGTCCGATATTTTGGAAACAATAAAACATAATTTTATTTATCTTTGTGTGGATAAATTAAATGAGATTGATTGTGCTTGTTTTCCAGAGCAGAATTTACCAATCGGTATTGCTTTAAGCGTACTGTGCTCCTGAATTTTCATTATAGTTGCAGCGGGAATGGGCGAGGGGAAGGGTGAGCGACGACAAAAACAGCAGCAACAGCAGCAGCAGCAAATCCATACAGAAAAAATGTTAGCGTTAAATAGCAGCAACAGCAGCAGCATTAAGAACTGCATGGACAACAGCAGCACTGAAAACAGCATTAGCAATAGCAGCTACAGCGAGTAAAATTCACATCGAAAAGTTAATAACTTCTTACCATTACATTGTCAGCATTCATGCTTAATTACTGAATACGTTTTTTATGCTAGAAATGACAGCTACTGTACCCCTCTCGGGTAGAACGATTAAATCTATGCTCCATGCGGCCAAAGCCCTCTGTATGCATCCTCTGTGTCGCTTGTATGTACAGAACCCCCCC